AACCCACAAATCCTGCTAAAGTTGTTGGGGTTTTTTGTTTATTATGATTGTCTTGGGGTTTTCACTTTGGTTTTTTCTGTTTAAATTTTTTATTTTTATGTGTATGCATCTATTGCCTGCACGTAGGTAAGTGCACCCGTGTCATGCAATGCCCGAGGAAATCAGAAGAGGCTCTCAGATCCCCTGGGACTCGAGTTACAGATAGTTGTTAGCTGCCATGTGGGTGCTGGGATTCGAACCTAGATCTTCTGCAAGAATAATCAGTTTTCTTAACCACTGAACCATCTCTCCAGCCCCTTTTATTTTTTTAAGACTAGGTCTCATGATAGAACGCAGGCTGGTCTCAAAGTCATCATCCTCCTGCCTCCTAAATGCTAGAATTACAGGCATGTGTCACCATGCCCAACTTCTTTGAAAGGAGTCTTAAATTATAACAAGAAAAACTAGAAATGTGCTAATCAAATTGTGCTGCACCTGGACTATAATAGACCATATGATTATATGTTATGTACAGGGAGATGGATCTCTTTAATGTTAAAATATACTTATGCAACACACACACACACAATGATCCCAGTCTTGCTCTAACAAGGAATGACTTATTATGCAAGTAAGACTTGAAAAAAGACAAACTGTAAACATAGCTCTAGATTTTTTAAAACAAGATGACTTTTAAAAGTAAGCTACAAGATCTCTACTGCCTTTTCTTAGTACTTCATATTGGGCAAACTGCTTAGGTTATGAGCCTGTAGCCAACATGCAAAATGGAGATAATGGGATCTTTCCATAGACTTACTGAAGCCTGCAATAAAGCTACTAAAGATAGCTGGAGAGATGACTCAGTGGTTAAGAGCACTGGCTGCCCTTACAGATGACCCAGGTTCAATTCCCAGCACCCACACGGCAGCTAACAACTGTCTCTAACTCCAGTTCCAGGGGACTCTAAGGCCCTTTCCTGGCCTCCTCGGGCACCGTATGACACGGGTGCACTTACATGCAGGCAATACACTCAATATACATAAAAGTAATAAAAATATTTTTTAAAACTACTGAAGAAAACAAAAAGGGGAAGGCAGCAAACAATGGTCTTCAATGGCTTTTAATACTGTAATCGCATATATAATCTAGCTTTGAATTTTTTACCCTAACACTTTAAAAAGAACACACATGAATGTATAGTTTGTTTTTGAGTCAGGGTCTTGCTTGTCCAAATGCTATCTAATGTAACTAGCAGATATTAGAAATTACATTCCTTAGGTTTTACTTCTTAGGTTTTCAAGGAACTTTTTACTGGGGAAAAAAAATCCATTTTTAAGAGAGGAGGGAAAAAAAGAGCAGCTCAAACTAATCTGCAAAAGACATCAAAAACATTGTCCCACCTTAGTTTAGCAGAGGCAGGAGGAAGCAGGCAAATTCAAGGCCAGCCCAGTCCACACAGTAAGTTTTAAACCAGCCAGAAATACATGGGGAGATCCTGTTTTTTAAAAAAACAAACAGCCGAGTGTGGTGGCGCACGCCTTTAATCCCAGCACTCGGGAGGCAGACGCAGGTGGATCTCTGTGAGTTCAAGGCCAGCCTGCTCTACATACTAAGTTCCAGGACACCTGGGGCTACAGGGATACTCTGTCTCTAAGAGACCAAAAAAAAAAAAAAAACTTCAAAGAAAAAGGCCAAAATAAGGGTGAAACATTTTCCCAATTATACTTGCCAGACTGACACTAAAAGAGAAGAAACTTTCTCTATGTGCAAATATTAAATACCTTTTTAGGTAAAATCCTTATGTCTAAAGGCAGGTTATGTTCAAACCAACCCAATATCCAAATGTATAGTTTCAAGTTATCAAAGACAGAACTTAACCTAAAGTGCAAATTCTCCAATTTAAAAATCACATTAAATCCAGGACAGCTGGGGCTACAGGGAGACCCTGTCTCAAAAAGACCAAAAAAAAAAAAAAAAAAAATCATATTTAAAGGGCAAACAACTAAGTCTACCAATCAAATAACTGACAGTCACTTGTGGTCTTGAAAGAATCATAAATGTCAAATTCTTAGGTATCCTCCATCCTTAAACCTCACCTAAAAATAAAATTTCTAAATTAGGATATAATCATGGGTATATTCATTTAGACCTGATAGCACCTCGACCCAAACTTTTTGCAAGATTTAGAGAGATGGCTCAATAGTTAAGAGTGCATACAGCTCTTGCACTGACCTGAGTTCAGTTCCAAGCACCCATGTCAGGCAGCTCACATCTAACTTCAGTTCCAAGGGATCCTGTGCCATCTTCTGGACCCCACAGGCATCTGTACTCACACATATGCACCCTCCCAATACACAGGGTTTTTTTTTAAGGTTTTTTTATTATTACCATCTTTAAATATCTTCCAGGGTTTGTGAGAAGGTTCAGTGGATGAAGAGACTTGTTACCAGGCCTGATTTCCTGGGAACCCACAAGGTGAAAAGCACCAACTCCTGGTTTCCTCTGATCTCTCCACCAGGTGCTTGGTCTGTGAAAGGCCTGTGCTCACCCCCAAACATTCACACAAAATAAAGGAATGCAACATCTCCCAAACTACCTTTCAACTACTGATTACTTTGCAATTTACATTCAAAGTCTTGTAAGTAAAAAAGATCTTCAAATTGGGGGGGTGGGGGAAGTATCTTGAAAATCAAATTAAATTCAAGCATGGCAAAATACTAGCATGTCTTTATCACCTCCTTCAAATTCTAAGTTTGAAGTAATACCGTTCAGATTCTCACAGGCGAATCAAAACAGAAAACAGCTGCCCACTTTAAAAAGCACATGTGAAAAATGTCTGTATACTGACTAGAGGGGCAAAGGAAACAAATTATGCTTTTCCCTACCTGACTACACATTTCTGAGTGAACACATGACATTGAAGTGTTAATATACTATGAATTGCATATTGCTTTTCTAATAACAGGGAATTATTTTGTAAACTTGTTAACTTTTTAAAGTCACCGTGTTAGAATAAAAATAACCTTCTGACTGAAAATGTTCCAAGAAATCTACAGGCTAACTCAGAATCTTTCAGTTATTGGCAACTAAGCAAGTCAAGCAGCGTAGCATGTAATAATTTAAGCAAATCATTTTCCATACCCTAGAAGCACCCAAAAAACCTTATTTAAAAATTTTCAAGTTGCCTGTGTAGTCTGTCAATAAAAGTAAAAATTAAAGCAGAATTTGAAGGCAACTGTATAAAGAGAGCAAAGGATTTCACCCAATTTTTGCTTCAATGTGCAGCAACACCTATCCTGCTAGAGGTCTATTTAATAAATACCAAGCCAAGTATCAGCTATCATTTGTCAAAGTAACTGAGCAACCATTACCAAACATTCATGACCTTTCTTATCTCATTTGGGAGCCCCAAGTTAAAAATAGTTCCTTGGCAGGAACTAGACCTTGGAAATTACAGTGACAAATAAAAGGGTAGGAGCTTCAACATCAAGTGAAGAAAATCCAAAATTCATCTTCCAAAGGCTTAATACCATAAAGCTTTGGGCTTTTGAAACAAGTATTTTGCCATACCATTGAATCAAGTGAGGTTAACTGGCACTCTGAACCCAACCCACCAGGTTATACATACTCTCACTCAATCGTGTAAAGAATTGAATTCTTTATTTGTGATATCCATAAACGTTGCTATTCTATATTTCTATCCAGGAAGGCAATTTTCTCCTATTATCAGGGTTTTTTTGTTTTGTGTTTTATAAACAACAACTTGAATTCTATTGCATGAAAGGGCTACAAATATACATGTTAACCAAGCAGAATACACAGATATTTTGCTTTACAACTTGCACCTAAAATACCAGTATACATAGCTGGTTCATTAGTTGTCATAGCAATTTGGGGCTAACGCCCAAGCTATGCATAGCAGTTTACATGTTCAAATCTCAGGTAGAGTGACTGAGAAGCACTGTTAACTACATTCCTGTGAAGCCCATCTCAGCTACAAGTAGATGTAACTTACAACTTGCAAGTTTGCCCAGATTTTTGATGGCAAACTGCTAAATCTGAAGCAATTGTCCTAAAGTTTTTTTAACCAACTGTCATGCAGCTATACTGCCATCCTACCAGTAGATGGTGCTACATAGGTTGGGAGGATTTTCATGAGGACAACAGTTCAGTTTTAGGAAAAAACATTTTTAAACCTGCTCTGAAAATACAAAAATGCATTTAGTGTTAAGGGCAAAATATCACCCTTTTATTGTAACCATTACAGACAAACCAGTAAGGATGAAACTAGGTCATCTGAAAATTTTAAACAGTTTATATGAATGAAAACACATGCTTAAACACAAACTATTTCTTTCAAACTACACAGTACATATTTTGAAGTAAATTCTCATAGAAAGTGACCATGTCAAGATGGTAAGCAAATCGCTTAATACAAAGAGATGGATGCACAGAAACTTTTTAAAAAGCCATATCCACCACTTTAAAAGTTTTGTCTGTAAGGGGTAAAATTTAACACAGCACTAGCAGGGTAACAGGGGGAATAAAACTCACACTTAAGTTTCTCAAAGTACACATCAAAACCAGAAAAATATCACTTAAAACGGTAAGGAATGGATCCTAGAAAAAAATGTTAGACATGGATGGTCAAACACAATTTTTATTAAAAATAAAACGTAAAAATGATTTTGTACATATGCGTCCAAATTTCAGGCATGGGATCCAAGTAGGTTTCATAGAAAACGCTGTAGCCAGGTATCAAGTCCTTACAACAAAGTAAACTACCCCCCACCCCCTCCCAGGTTTTGCTACAATCAGCAAGTTTCACTCCCTCCCCCTCCCCAAAAACACAAATTAAAACAAGACAATTTGCTAGTATAAAAACGACCAAGGTCCAAGTAATAATAAAAAAATAGAGTCCATCAATGACTGTAACACAAAATGTGTGTGGGGGGCCCAGTCCACCTTCAGAGGGAGAGAAGCGGCAGGCAAACGGGGGCGGGGGTGGGGGGGCGCCCACTCCGAAGCGGCTCCCCCGAGGGCAAACCGGGGAGGGCGGGAGGGGGCGGGCAGAGGAGGGCTTGACCCCGCTTGGGCTGTCGGGAAGGAGCGAGCCTGGAGCCGCCGGCGGGCCTCCCGTGCGGGGCCCCTAGAACGAGCTGCCCCCGTAGCCGCCCCCTCCGCCGTAGCCGCCTCTGTAGGGTCCACTGTTGCTGCGGCCGCCCCAGCTGCTGCCGCCGCCGCTCTTCATCGGCCCGTACGAGGACTGGTGCTGGCTGTAGCTGCCGAAGCCGCCGAAGCCGTTCCCGTAGTCGCTGCCGCCGTACGACGAGCCGCCGCCGCCCCCGTAGGCGTTGTAGCCGCCGCCGTAGCCACCGTAGCTGTTGTAACCGCCGCCGCCGCCCTTGGCCAGGCCGTTCTGGTCTCGGCCGCCGCCGCGCCCCCGGCCGCCGCGCCCGCCCCGGGCCGCCCGCGAGCCGCCGCCGGAATGGATATCCTCCTTGGGGACCGCCTTCTTCACCTCCACGCGGTGGCCCTGGATCGGGTGGAACTTGACCACCGCCGCCTTGTCGGCCGCGTCGTGGTTCTGGAAGTAGACGAAGCCGAAGCCCCGCTTCTTGCCCGACTGCTTGTCGGCGATGATCTCGGCCTTCTCCACCGCGCCGAACTGCGAGAAGTGCTCGATCAGGTCGCCCTCCGCCACGTCGCCCTTCAGGCCCCCGACAAAGAGCTTCTTCACCTTGGCGTGGGCCCCGGGCCGCGCCGAATCCTCGCGGGACACCGCCCGCTTCAGCTCCACCGTGTTGCCGTCCACCGCGTGCGGCGAGGCGGCCATGGCGGCGTCGGCCTCCTCCACATTGGAGTAGGTCACGAAGCCGAAGCAGCGGGAGCGCTTGGTCTGGGGGTTCACCACCACCACGCAGTCCGTCAGGGTCCCGAAGGCCTCGAAGTGGCCGCGCAGGCCCGACTCACTCGTTTGCACGTTGAGGCCGCCGATGAACAGCTTGCACAGCTGCGAATTCTCCATCTCCGCCGCCCGGGCCTTGCCCCCGCCCTGCGCGCTCCGCGTCGCCGTCGCCGTTAGCGGTCGCCGAGGCCTCCCGGCAGCCGGGGCCCAACCGCCGCCGCCGCCGCCGCCGCCCCCGCCGGGGAAGGGAAGGGAGGGGAGGGGAGGGAGGGGACAGGCGCGGGCCGGAGGGCGAGCCGAAGACACTGGCACAGCACCGAGGCCGCGGCCGCCGCCACCTCCGCTCCCCTGTCAGGGCACCACACAAAGAGGCCGCTGAACGCGCGCGCACCCTCCCCGCATCGCGCGTCACCAGCGACGCCGGGCCTGCTGACCAATCGCCGCCCCGCTCGTCTTAGTCCCGCCCACCGCGCCGCGGCGCCGCTCTCCCGGCCGCCGCCCGGCCATCCGCGGTCTAGTCACGCCGTCGGTGCCTGGGCGCCGCCCCCCACTCCCCGTCGTTCCCACCCCCGGGAGTGCGGGGCTCCCAGCCCAGGGAGTCGCGTCAGCCTTCGCGCGGTGCGCGCTGCGCTTTCTTTGGGCCCCGCGGCTGTTCCCGCCGGCTCCCCCCCCCCTTTCCGTGTTCCCTCCGCAGCTCCGCAGTGGCGTTGGCGCCAGCCCCTTGAGAGACAGATGAGTTGAGCCAATCGCTGCCATCCCCTCGTACGCACTTACGTTTTCCGCGGCCGTGGGACGGGCGCGCTCTCTGGTGTGCGCTTGCCCGCCGTGCCCTGTGCGGAGCCGGCTGTCTCACGGGCCTCCTCTCGTTGGGGGGCGGGCGGACGCGGGGCGCTGCGGGGCGGCTCCCAACAGATGGGCCGGGGGCCGGCGGGCTCTTTGAAAACTTGACTGTTGGGGCTCGGGGCCCAGGTCCGCCCGCCGCTTCTGGGCTGGCCTACACCTGGCGTCCTGCCCCCTGTGGCACAAAGATGGAGGCCAGAGCCTTGGCCCGAAGGCGGTTATTAGCCGTTTACAGTGTTCGGGTAGCTCCGTCTATCTAGAGTGACAAGCACCCCGCACAGAAGCGAGCCCAAGCCAGTGTCAAGTAACAGGACGCCTGAAACGGGGTGACCCAGACAAAGCCCGAGACCCGGCCGCCGTCCCGCCCTGCCCACACCCCCCTGTGTCCTTTAGGGATGCCTTTCACACGTCCCCTGGGACTCACGTGCTCATTTTACATCAGTAAGTGTTTTAGGTATTTAATCACATCACTAGCTAATTGTTTTGAGACGTCTCAACTCTAGCCCAGGCTGGTCTCGAACTCAGAACAATCCTTAGCCTCTCCAGTGTTAGGATTACAGGCATGAGCTATGGAGAAGTCAACAGACTTCCACAGAACTTCTAACAGGTTAACAGGTTTCTTGTACCCTCTTGTCTCCCCATCCATACATTCTCATTGTCTGCCTCTCCCCTCTAGAATGTAACAGAATTACTGTTTTCTGCCATGTTGCCAGTATCTATTATACTGTCCACACAGCTGGATAAACAGAACTTTGTGAGGCACTATACTGACACTGACAAGATGTCATTTAGTTTCTACCACATGGAAGACATGTTTTATTATTTCCATTTTAAGATAAAATTAGAGTTTTTAAGATATAACAAAAATCATTCACACTCAGGTTTTGCTAATTTTTGATACAAAGGTGGAAAAGAAGTATAACAATGTTTGAAACCTGGAAGCCTAAAATACCAACATACCAGAAGTACAAAATTCAAGAAAAGGAGCTATTTTAGTGGGGATATATAGTCGTGAATGTTTAAAGTGACAGCGGCATATCCATGGGGCAGTGTTTTCTAGGATGCATGATTGTAACTCAGACCAGAGTTTCAACTTTAAGAAGTATATGTTAGAGTTGTACAAATAAAGTGTTAAAACAGTACAAAATGGCTGGGTGTGGTGGCACTCGCCTTTAATCCCAGCACTCGGAAGGCAGAGGCAGGCGAATCTCTGTGAGTTCAAGGCCAGCCTGGTCTACATAGTGAGTTCCAGGACAGCAAAACAGTACAAAATGAATTCCTAAAGGAATAACTACCATAGCCCACTTTTCTGCATAAGTTAAAATGCCTAAAGTAAAAGCTTTCTCTTACATTGTTTTTTGATATGTTTGTTTTTTGAGCCAGGGTCTCCTGTAGCCCAGGCTGGCCTGGAAAACTCTGTGGTTAACCTCCAACCAGTCCTCCTGTCTCCGAATCTTGAGTGCTGGGATTACAAGTGTGCATCATGACACCCATCTTATGCAGTTCTGGAGACTGAACCCAGGGCTTTGTGAGTGCTAGGTAAGCACTCTACCAACTGTACTCCATCCCCAGCCCTCTCATATACTGTTTTAAAATATTATTTCACACAAGCTACAGAGGTATACACTAAAGGTTTAATTTCTTGTTTTGTTTTTTGGGGTTTTTTTTTTTTGTATTTTTTAGAGAGGGTCTCCCTGTAGCCCCAGCTGGCCTGGAACTCACTATGTAGACCAGGCTAGCCTCAAACTCAACAGAGATCCACCTGCCTCTGCCTCCCAAGTGCTGGGATTAAAGGCGTGTGCCACGACCCCCAGCATCAAAGGTTTAATTTCTATTGCAAGCTTCCTAAGTACTCGTAGAAGATAGGGATAATTGGAGGAAACAGAGGCTTATTAAGAAAACTAGGATACAGTCAGGCATAGTGGTGCACACCTGTAATCCCAAGATCGCTCCAGGCCAGCTGAGGCTATAGGGAGACCCTGTCTCAAAAAAAAGAAAAAAGAAAACTAGGATAAAGTTCTTTGAGGGCCTTTTCTAGGTAAAGGTATGGTGTTATGGTCTAAATATGAAACCATATCATGGGTGGGCAGCATTGATTGCCAGTGGATGGGCTCTTGAGAAGTGATTGGATTTTGAAAGCCCTGATCTAATAATGAATTAATCTCTCCAGGGATTAATGTGAGAGCATTATTGGGAGGTGGTGAAAAGCACAAGGTGGGGCATAGATGGAGGGAATAGGTCACTGGAGGTGTGCCCTGGAAAGATGTATCTTGTCCCCACCTCTTCTCATTTTCTACCCTCCTGTCTGCCGGCAAAGCAAGACACTTTACCAAAGTTGTCCCACCATGATGCTCTGATGGCACAGAAACAGTGGAGTCAGCTAGTCACAGAATAAAAACCTTTGAAACTGAGCCAGAATAAATCTTTCCTGCTTTGCTTATCTGGAGTCTTTTGTCACACTATGAAACTTTGGAATATAGGGAATCAGTTTCCTACCCATCTTGTCATTAGTGGAGAAAAAGTACTTTCCCACTTTACCTTTTAGATCATTACCTGAGTTTGAGAGATTTCTGACTCCACCTTCAAAAACAAAAAGTTTGGCCAGGTGTGGTGCTGTACACCTTTAATCCCAGCATTTGGGTTGGAACCAGTCAGGTCTCATAGTGAAATCTTGCCTCAAAACCTTTTTAATAGCTGAAATTTAGAAAAACACTTGGTTTTTATTCTTCCTGCAGACTTTACTGTCTAAATGATTAATAGAAGACCACACAGCCCATGGATTTGCAAACTGGAAAGGATGTGTTTACCTAAATCATACCTAGAAAAGAGAAAAAAGGGTGAAAAGAATGAGTTTAAGGAAAAGGAAACAAGCTAACTGTGTTTCCAGAAAGCGACTGTGGCTTTTTTTCTTTCTGCCTCTGTCTCTAGAGCTGGACTGCAGGCATGAGCCACCATGCCTGGTTTATGCGGCACTGAGGAATCAAACCCAGCTTTGTGCATGCTACTCAAGCATCCTACCAACTGAACTGCGTTCTCCTGCCCCGGCTGTGACTTCTAAATCAACATTGTATTACATCCGTTTGTTTTTATAGTTAGAGTTCTATTATGAACCACCTCCCAGCAAGTTCATATATTAAAAGCCTTAGTCATCAGTAGCAACAAATGTAACTGTCATTGAAAATTAGGTCTTTAGAGAGGTAATTAAGCTGAAATGAGGCCATTAGTGTAGAGACATAATCCAATGTAATTTGTAAGAACAGGAAGAGATGCCAGGGGCACATATACACAGAGGGATGATCATATGAAGAGACAGGCAGGCAGCAAGAGAAGCCTCAGAACTCAACCTGCCAGTGTTCCACCTGAATACTTTAGTGGCCTCTTCCACCCTCAAAGCCAGCAGTAGTGCAGTGGAGTCTTTTTCACATTGAATCACGCTGATCTTGATTCTTCTCTCAATCTAGGTGAAGTGGACTGAATATTTTTCCCCAAAATGCATATGTTGAAACTCAGTGTGATGGTATTTGAAAGTAAAGCCATTGGGGATTCGGTTAGGAGAATGAAGTCTTCAGGGATGGAATGAGTGCCTTTATTTTTATTTTATTTTATTTATTTATTTATTTGGTATGTTTGAGACAGGGTCCCGGTAGTCCCAACTGGCCTGGAACTCCCTATGTAGACCAGGCTGGCCTTGAACTCACAGACATCTACTGTCTGTGCCTCCCAAGTGCTGGGACTAAAGGCATGAGCCACCACTCCAGGTGTGTGAATGAGTGCCTTTATACAAAGGGCCAGAAAGCTAGCTAACTCTCCTCCCACCATATGAAACTACAGTGAGAAAGTTAGCAGAGTGCAACCTGGAAAATCCTTCACCAGATCCCAGTCATCTGATCTGGAATTTCTGACCTCTAGAACTGAGAAATTCATTTCTGTTACTTATAAGCACTCAGACTGTGGTACTTTGTTAGAGCAGCCCAAACTAGGACCCAACGATAATCCCTATTTAAAGCCAGTTGATTAGCAACATTCATTCCATCCACAATCTTTTTGTTGGTTGTCTTGTTCTGTTTCATTTTTATGAGGCAGAGCTCACGTAGCTCAGGCTAACATCCAACTTGCTATATAGTGGAGGTTAGTCTTGAACTCTCGATCCTTCTGCCTCAAAGTGCTGAGACTTCAGGGCTGTGCTACTATGCCTGCTCTCCAGCCACAATCTTAACTATCCCTTGTCATGTGGCATAATGCATTCACAGATGCCAGGGCTTAATATGTAAACATCTACCTCAGCTGGGAACAAGACACTATGGGGCTGGAAAGATAGATAGGGCTGAGTCAGGAAGGATTTTTTATTTATTTATTTATTTATTTATTTGGTCTTTTTGAGACAGGGTCTCCCTGTAACCCTAGCTGTCCTGGAACTCACTATATGGACCAGGCTGGCCTTGAACTCACAGGTGTTCTCTGCCTCCTGAGTGCTGGGATCAAAGGTGTGCGCCACCACACCCGGCTAGGAAGGATTTTTATTTCTTGCTGAGGGTTTCAGCCTTTAATTCTATAAATAAAATGGTACCCTTGGAGTACTATAGAAG